TCATACTTCTGGAGATATGAACAACAAAATGGTTGTTAATAGGGGAAAAGATAGAGTCAGGAAAAGTGTAGGGAGGGCCAAGGCAATACGCAGAGACGGCATTGATAGAGGGAAATGAAATGCGGTAAAAATATGCGAATAAGGGGGGATGTGTACTGCTTAAGGGAGTGTAGGTAAATCCCACCTGAAAGGTCGAAGGGCGTGATGACAATGGTGGTAATGAAAGCAGTGACGCAGAAGAAGCTGTTCATTTATAGTAAGAATGTGAACATTCACCCGTTTGGTTGATAAGTAGGCAATAAATCGAAAGCCGTTTGATTATAAGTCAAAGGACTCTACGGTGAGAGTGGGTCCTCGTCACACTCGTGACGTATTTATTATCGCACAATTTCGCAACAGTAAATGTGAGCCAATAAGTAAATTGCAATTACAGACGCTGTTGTTTCGAGCGCGGCTACGTGTATCACAAAGCGTTGTATTGTGCGCACAGGCATTTACATATCCAGAGCAAGTCACACATAAACCAATATCATGGTGACCGAAAGTATGCAAGAAACAGTCACAAAAGCGGAAAGAAAATTCTCTACTTCAACTGTTGAGAAAAAAGGTGACAGGTAACATGTAACCCCAAAAAAGTCACAACCATTAAACACAGACCTACGCATTAAATATGGTGCAAATCTGCTCAAGGAATGCTTGTTAACCGAAGTGGCCATCATTTGGAGACCTCGTAACCTTAACGCCACATTTGAAGGAAAGACTGTGTTACTGCAGCAATTAAGTTGTCATCATTATTTCCACCAAAAATGTGCTGCATTTCAAAGAACAAAATAATACTAAAATTTTCCCAACACCTACCGAAAACGCGAGCAAATGCCGAGAACTAACCCAATATAGCTAGCAAACTTACAAACAAAAAAAAACCTTTTTGCGATTTTGAAAAAAATTGTATTATTAATGCGTATTTTTAGCACCGGCGATTAGCATGGTTTAAATTTGACAGCACTTAGATTATTTGTAGAATCTAAACTTTTAAAAAAGAGCCTAATCATAACTAAATTTTTTTAGTTTTGATTTTAATTTTAAATAATTCTATTTTGTGTTTGAACGCATTGACAAGGAGAACATTGCTATGAGTCTGCTTTGTATAACCTAGGCGTGGAAGCGCCTTATTTGGATTCTATTGTAGGTCCTTATCTGTTCGCGGGACCGCGTTTCTTGATGCCGTAGCTCCTATTTGTTGCTGATTTTAATAGTGAGTTAAGTTCCTGCTCGTGTCCTTCTCGTAAATGTGAAGCCTCACCCTTGAGCCTTAAATTAGGCTATAACCCGTAAGTAGCACATCGTTATTTTGAGTCAGCGTGCTCATACGGTGTCCTTGTCATCTTTATGTTTTTAGGTCTATTTACTCACTAGTTCGACTTATAAGACATGATGCAAAGTCTTCCTCGTCTTTGCAGTTGCTTTTCTTTAAACATGCGTATTTGATTTTTTCCGTTATTTCCGTCGGCAGAAATCTACTTCTCTAGGCTGTTGGCATGGCTGCTATTTGTACAGGCGTCATATTTTATCTAAATTAGCTTGAGGGGAGGTGGAAGTAGATAATTGCACCTAAACCTGCTTGCCTCATTTGGTCCAAGGCAAATTCTACAGCTTATCCTCTTCAGCTTTTTGCTTTATTTCACAACCTTGTCATATTGTTGGAACCTCCACTTTTTGTATTGTGCTTTTGCACTCAATTGCATGAAAATCACCCTTACCAATCACTGCCAATGTGCATAAGATACCAGAGTAGTGAAAACGCATATTTTAGGCGATATTTAAGGGACTGTTTTTCATTCTCAAATATTGACAAATAGAGCTTGTAGTGTTGAGGATATCAGTATCTGAGTGCTATTTCAGTGGCCTGTATTTGCATATCCTAGTAGAGTCATTCAAAGTTCGGATTTTTTCACCTTTTAGGCTTGATATGGTAAGGGAGAAGAGTGAAGGTAGATCCAGTGGAGTCCCAATGGAATAATTTACACGTCATGTCGTATCTATGTTCGCTATTGCTGTCGTAGACAGCATTACGATGGCGAAAGATGTTGCATCGGAGGTTTAAGTGAGTTGTTCGTTACCTTTGTGGTGATTCCAACCATCACTTACCGCTCTTTTTTCTATCAGAATGTGTTGTTTTGTCATTAATACACTTATTCTGATGTATGTTTTTGTTTTCGCTGAATTTCCACACTTATTCACTCAGGTCTACAAATGGCTTAGTTAAATCACGATTCTGCTCAATCACTTAGTTCGCTTTAATTGTAAGCGGCTATTAGGTCAGCAATAAAGTACGCTTAACCTTCATGCCTAACTCACTGCCTCAGGTTTACCTCCTTTGAGGAAAGAAAGTTAAGGGATTCTTGCATTCAATTAAAACTTTTACACCTTTTCCAGGCTTTGATGTACCCAAGCTTATTTGTCAACACGGTTTTGCTTTCTTATTTGTCAAAGGATTCGACATTTGTGTAAATTAGCCTTGCCTCTTCAAATATTTCGTAACACTTTCTCTGCCAGATTCTCAGCGGATTGTCGGCTACTATAGTCGATGTCTTATTGTTATGGTTTGATTTTTTAACCACTTCAACCCTTGCTCAAGGGAACCGAAAGTGTAGCTTTGCGCGGTCCATGATCAATCTGCAGCGCTTTTTACTGACTTAGAATTATCCTGTCTTTAGTTGTGACAATTTGGTTCGGTCATTTACCGCAAATTAATTTAGAACACGTTCCGCGCGACGCTGTTGATTTGGTCATTTCCCTAATAGTGTAAAGTGCGAACACTACAGTAGCACCAAGTGGATACATGGGTTTATTCCCCAGCCTCGATTGAGAACGAAATCTGATCGTGTTCGCAGTGTTTGACTACAGGAATTTGGTTGGAGGTTTTATGAAAAATGCCACATAGACAAGTTGTTAGACTCCGCTTCATGCGAACACTAACCACGACAAATAAATGAAGATTTCGCTGGAATCCTAAGGGAGGTCTTACCGCTTTTCAGCCTTTCACCTCAAAAGCAAATAATTTTACTGCATCACACATGTGGCACGCGTTCTTTTGCTTTTGAGTAGTCGGTTGCACCCAGTTTAGTGCCCAATTTTTTTTCCTAAGTGATGCTGCAGTTTGATTGCTAATAATCGAGTGAGGAAGAATTTCTGCTATAGCTGTTGTCGTCCATTTTAACATAGCAGTTCCCTTCTTAACCATTTTATCAATTTTCTTTAATTTGTGCACAGACTACTATGATTTGAAAAACTGTTGATAAAGGCGACTAATCAAAGAGGTGAGGCCTCTGTTTCAAGCCTAGAAGTCGAGATCAATAGTCATGGAATCATGATGAAGCATTGAGTTTTCGGTTCTTACCTGTAGAGTCTAATAGGTTGATTTGTTTTCCCACAAAGAAATCTGTACGATCCACGTTCCTGCAAAAGGTCCTCGATTTCTATTGTGGTGATTTAGTATTTTATTTAACTGCGCGGGGATTTGAGTCCCTGCAGACTGCATTTCCGCTCTGCACGATGGCCTTTGGGTCATGCTAATATTCTCCGTTTAGAGACGAGAACTCTGTAATGGCCTTTGACCACCAACGTAGAACAGCGCATTCTTTCTGCGGCAAACGGCGTGACTGATCAAATGCAAGCTCCTATTCTCGATTTTCAGACGAGAAGTCTGAAATGGCCATGGACTTTCTGCAGCAAACGGCGCGACTGATCAAAAGCAAACTTAATTACGACTAACTGTTGCCCCGATCGTGGCCGCATTTTGGTACACCTTGGCCTCGTTCCATTTTCCTGCATTTTCGATGTATCACAGCTTGGTGACAAATCGCAAAATGCAATTGAGCAACTTTACATCGCTTAACTGGTGCGTACTTGGAAGCACCTTTAGTGCCTTACAGGACGTTTACGTGAGGAATAAAGGTGTTTGATATTTCTTTGGTACCGCACTGCGATTGCTGAGTAGCATATACATAGGAACGTCTCGATATTAATAGCTCGAAATTCACATGTCAATATAAGTAAATCCTTCTGGTGTTTGCTATCAATTGTTACAAATACGGGTTGGCGTATCTGTACTGTAACCGTATGTGCTGTTTACAATGAGGACGAAACAGTGCATCCATCGTAACCGATATCATGGATAGCAAACCAATGGTTAAGGTATGACGATGTTCTGAAGGGTTTGAAAGGTATGCTGAAGATTACAAGATTGCTAAGATTTCTCCGAAAATTATGCTCATTTACGGCGATGATGCTGGTTCATTGAGAGGTACTGGGAGCTTCGGCGTTCTCGAGGTGAATGCACAGTTGCGAAGTGTCCATCGTGCAGACTCTGCACATGATAAAATCGAAGAGTCGGACCAGCTGTGTTGCTGTTGGTCGCTGACACTGATCTGCCGCCATTCCACTACAAGCGCAAAAGTTTCCATCAACTCTACTTCCCAATGAGGACACTTTTAGACAGGTAGAAGTGAGGGGTTTCTCACCAATCAAAGAGACTTTGAAGAAATGGCAGACTTGAATGGATCCTCACGGAGTGAGGACTCACCACTTGGTCCAATCTTCGTGTCAGCATTTTCCAAATCGAAACGGTCATGCTGTAAACATCCACTGACTTCGAATAACTGGTGAAGAACTCATCCTTGTGCATTGGTTTTGGTAAAAGAAAAGTGCGTACACTTGAAGCTTTTGTGAAAACGGTGAGTATATCACAATTATTCACGGATATTCATATGCCTACAGCAGATACCTTTGACGATGACAAAAAAATTACATCTGCGCCAAATCGGAAGAATAATTGGGCAGGGAAACTCACTGCCTACGTCGAAACAGGAAAACATAATTTAACGCTCAATTGCAACATAGCGAACGTCGGCCATTCGCGTGTTTGGACCGGCACCAATGAACTTGACGATGTTCGGATGATGCAGGTAGCAAGTGTATAGGCTTCTTGGTGGTTGTATATGCGTTCAACAATCGCATTCATGAATTTGAAATCCTTCTTCACCACATTTTTACGTCGGCATTTTCCAAATGAAACAACCCGGCATGTCCCTCCTGAAATGCTCTTAAAAAACGTAAAGAGCTCATTTCGTGCCCAGTCCAGACGGAAGCCACTCCCCGTCCTCTCCCCGACATCACTATTATCATCGGCGTAATGAGAGTAGAGGGTGTCAATCCCACCGAGATCAGCGACGTCGATTTAATAGGTGCTCCCTCAATTTTGGCCTTGTGTGGTTGACACAACGTAGGTCTATTCTGCATTCATTTTGGGTTTTGGTTTTCGTTGCGTTTTCGCAACTGATTCACACCACTTTGGCATTAACTAAACTACCAAGTTAGGGTAATCAGTACCGCTTCCGCAATGAATAGTCATGCCTCATTTTATTTCTAGTATCTTCAATCTTTTATGGAGCCTAAAATTGTCAAAAGTAATGCAACTTCTGGTGGTGCCTAACGTGGTAAATCGTGTTTTCCTCTAGTTGGACACTGAGGTGTGTATGTGTAGGTTTGCCATGGACTGAACCAAAGTTGTGTAAATATCCCTTCCATTCTTTAACCACCGTCGAGATATATTTGTCAGTCTACCATGGAATGCATTGCAGCGACGCAAAAATAATTAAAACAGTTCTGATATGAGTTGACTGGATAACTTGGTCTTGTTGTTGGAACCTTTTATTTAACCTGTTGTTCTTTTCTTCAGCCGCTTCTGAGGCGCCGGTAGTCATTCGCTTCACCGTGACGATGGCAAACGTGACGAAAACGGAGAGGGGGATGTGAGAGAAAAGAAAGGAGAGACGGAAGTCAAACTGAGCTCCCAACATCAAAGGAGGAAAGAGTGGCTTTCAAAACGCCGTGCTCTCCTGCGAAGAGGCCCAGTCAAATGTCTTCTTTCCCTTTGTTTGTAAATGGACCAGTATGTGTGACGTGTATGTGCATTTACAAATCAGAATTTCTCCACTCGAGCCTTTACTTCTTGTCTGTTGGTGGGGAAGGAAAATGAGCTAAAATGGAACTGTTGGCTGGGTCATGAGAAGCATAATAGCCTTTGGTTTTCTTTTCATTGATGGGATGAATGGTAATAGGTGCGAATCGCACATCCGGATAATCGGTTTCGGTGGCTTTTCTCTCTCGCCTTAGAAGCATGGGCATACATTGACCGGATACAGCAATTACTCTCTCTGCAAGGAGCCAGATATTTTAGCATCCTACGTAAACCACTGATTTGAGCCACCAATGATGTACCTACCTTCTGTGAGTAAAGTTAGGCGCTTTGGTTTCGTTGCTGTGCCACGGTCGATCCCAGCCCACCTGCTTACTTGTGATAGTTGAGTGAGAAGAACAATTTCCCCTCAAAGGGAGGTAGGGAGAGAAGAAATAGAGAGGATGTTGCCCAAACCAACATGAATAGTTCGTTGTGAGGTGCCTCATGCCTAGTATACTTGACTAAACCTCCTACAAATGTATCACAAAGCAATGCTCACGCCACTTGTGTTGCTAGTCGTCACCCTCCGAATTCCTACATGGAGACCTCAACGATAACTCAGGTCCAAGTTTAGTCGAAAAATGCGAAAACTTGCTCAGGGCTGTTCCTATTTAGACTGAACCACTCATAAAACAAAAGATCAGTGCCAATTCGGCAATGCACTTTAACAATACCAACGCGCTTCCGTTCCCCGTGAGCCTTGACGAACAAATTTTCTGATTCAAGAGTTGTTCTTAAGGAGTCCCTGCAGAATTCTGTTTGGGAAATTGTGACCCTGTCAAAGAACACGAACAACATTTTTTATCATTAATTTTACAAAGGGAGGCGCGTGTAAGACGGAGTTGTCTGTGAGAAGCACGTCATGAACATTGGTTCCTCACATTAGGGCTGTTTGCTTATTGAAGGCTTTTGAATGAACTGGAGTGCAACGATGTAATGAAGAGAGTGGATAGGATAGGAACAAGGGGTGATTTTGCTATTACTCAAGCATGTTGACCGAGCGGTAGTAGGAACGCCCACATTCTAGTTGGTTGTGAATGACGCTCAAGTCATCTGATCGATCAGATGTGTTTTATCGATCCAATGCGGTCGTCCCCACGAGCAGTGATTGGAGTGATTATCTAACCAATGTCTGAGCGATACTTGGTTGCATACTGTAGAAATGAGCTCCTGTTTCCAAGGTTTTATGGTGCGTGATGATTATGCTTGCACGCTTGAATTAACTCTGTCATTATTTAGGTGTTGAAGGAAAACAAGTGGAATTTAGGTGACCTTTGCAAACCCACTTCTATTCTTGACATGTGCAGTTCTGCTAAAACCCCTCATTTCATTGTTTCTCATGAAGCTTATTATCAAGTAGAGATTATGTTAGCTAGCTTAGGTGCCCAGTCGGTTCAAGTGCTTTTTGTCGACAAGTAATCCTTTGGGTTCTGGCATATTTGTAAGGTGCAACAGGGGCCACGGAATGGCCAAACTTTGAGTATTTCATGACTACCTTTAACATCACACTGGCTGGGTGTTGATTATGGGCTCACCAAAATATAAACAAAATTCGAGTTGATTTGCGCATTTTAGAAATGCTCTCTTGGGCATCAATTTTTCACCATCATCCTTGAGTGAAGTTAGCTTTAGCATTCGCATCAATAGCGACTTGTAATTTATCCTCATCACTGGTGACCCTTTCAGAGCACTCGTCAATTATTTGCATAGAGATATGCAAACAACTGGCAGTGGCATCGTTTCTGCATTTGCTAAAGGAAAGTGACTTTTTGATCTTTGCAAACAGTCTAGCGATGAAATGGAAGCACATTACTTTTTCATATTATTCAAATTCAGAAAGAATTAGGATTGGGTAATTTTTGGCTTAGTCATCAAATTTTATGGTTAATATGAGGTTGTGAATAAATCACGGTTACAAAACCAACGTTTTGCAACTTAATGCGCATGTGACGGCAAAACCGAATTTGAACTTTTCATTTTACGAACGAAGCAAGGAACGTTACTGCTTGTGATGGCGTAAATCACTCGAGTTATCGTTCATTAAGGCGAAAAGCAAAAATGCTAGTGTGTACATTAGTAGGTCTACGTGTGGTGATGAACTATGGCCTACATTTCGCAATTTTCTAGGCGTGAGAACTACTCTGAGCGTATTTGATTTACGTTGATGCGTCTTTCATCGACTATGGCTTTGGTCTTAGCATACGAATCTGCAGTCATTCCTTTATTTTCTGCTAAAAGATATGGCTTCTAGTTTCCAGTACATCAACACCGCAGTGACTCCTGATAGTACTTAATCCTGCATTTAGAAAGCCTAATCTTGAATTCCTGCTAGATGCATAATCTGCCATGGGAAGGTACCGAGTCAAGACTTTACATGGAAATGGTGATCAAAATCATTTACGAGCATCTTTGATTTGGCGAGGTTAGTCACACTAGTTACCAGGTTGGTAAGGAAGTCTAGTGTTTCCTAGACGGCATTATAGCATGCAAAGTGGCCCAGAATAATCAGTTTAGTCTTAAGTCAAAGAGTGTATCTGAGTTGTAAATACCTAGAAACACACCGTCATTGAAGGATTTCTCATTGAATAACAGTACAGGCAATTAATTGCAAATGCTTTCTGCCAAAATCGTGAAGGTGTTTCTGCGGATCTGCTTTTGTTTGGTGTCAGTGCCAACAATGATCATAACCACCACCTTCTATTCGGGATGTGCATAAGCTGCTGCAGGGGTGACGAATGGGCCTTAACAAGGAGGAATGTCATGTTTTCTTATAACAGTGCTTGAGCTCACACTGATAATCGCACTAAGAATACGTTACAAAATTCGCTTGAGAGGCGTCATCGAACCTTGAATCAAGTAAAAACGCTCTCTTTGCCCAACAAACTTAATCTCAGTTAATAGGTTAGGAAGAAGGGAGTGGCTCTGCTATATGATTTTTCAACCCACAGAAATTTTGCTTAGGCCCCGCCCTTATGGATGTGAGGCGAAGCAGCATAAAAATCCTTTGATACCGTTATTTGATAGGGTGCGAATGAGAGTCAAATCACATCAAACTTTCGGTATGCGAAACGTCCATTGCAGCTGTAAATAAAATGGCAGGTTACTTACAGAAACCGGCCACTTTTTGCTGGCCCGAATGCCCATTGTAGACATGATGTGGGCAGATTTGACAAATCCTATGCAGATGAAGACGCTATTAATGCACAAATGGTAGACATAGGTTGAAACTTCGATAATTCAAGGTGAGATACCAGAGCTGATGCATTTAGTTTCCATGTGTATTTGGTGAATATTGCCTACTAAAATCACCAAAAATTGCAGCTTACATGTGGCTCATTCTTAAGTTCCCACCTACACGGATGACAAGGGTTGGCGTTTCAGCATTCTAGAGATCAGCCACAATTAGTTACGCACAACCAAAAATGCGATAAAATTTTACATTTTAGTGGACGATCAACTGTTGTGAGGATAATTTGTTAGGGAGTACTAGCCTGTTTTTTGGCGTGGATAAGTATTTATTAAGGCTTAAAGTCAGGGACAGCAGATCCATGTTCTATTTTCGTATGCCTCATCTGTATGGACTGTGTATATGTTCTTAATAGCAGTTGCTGCATTTTCTGTTTAGAATACGCCTCATTATGTTGCAAATTCATGAACTGTGAACAACGAAAAACAGTTTGTTTAAACGAATTCCACAGTTAAAATTTGTAGAATTGAATTAGTGGTATAGAATTTCAGTTTATAGGTAACAAACTTTAATTCCCACACTTCTATTTACGTAATTAATTTGATATTTTGAAAGTTAAAGTGAATGCCCCAGCACTTTCTCAACTCCATTTATGATCCTCAGGCAAGCAGACGCTAAGTTCCACACCCTTACGACCGAGAGTAGCCTATGCCACTGCTAGTGAGAGTCCCTCTGGAGTAGAGAAATCCACGAAGGCTCTATGAAATCGTTTACCCACCCTCCCTTTGGCTGCATCGAATAGGCCAAAGAAGTCGTGATTGTCCTTCTCTCTTGCCATTGGCAAAAAAGCTATCACCCTCCAACTGATGGATGGAATAGACGTCATAGAAAGCCGTCAGAGTAAAGGCATTCAGACCCGCCAACACATGGCCCAGCAGAGGCAGGGGAGATCACTGCCTCACAACGAATACCGAACATGCGATCCGCATGTAGGATCTTGCTGGACGTACGTGCGAGAAGAATTAAAGACAGCACAAGATTTTTTATGCAAGAAGCCAATATTGCTCAAGTAGTGAGGTTCAAACATAGAGATAGCCAATTTTTCGAATTCTCTAGGTGGAAAATAACGCAATGAGGAGAGGCAAAATGTAGTCACAGGATAAGCTTTCTTAGACACACCGATAGAGGGACCTGGGAGAAACAAGGCATTAGCACTTTTGCACTAAATTAAGGTAATGCCATATGTTTCATAATCTTGCTGGTGTGGTTTAGAAGGAAGTTCATGTGCATTTTTACCCACTTTTTCGTCGATTTCTGTCTTGGTCAGCAGCAAAGTTTGCATCAATGGAATCCTTCCAAGTTTCAAACAATTAATATCAAAGACGAGCTCAGCTTCTTATATTCCCCAAAGCGGATACTTCGCCTATGATAAAATGGGTTATTATCCACTCTCGTTTTGTTCTAGTAAACGAGGGTTATTCTCCGTGAGCTCATTCTGGCTAAAGTTTATTTTACAGATCATCCTATTTAAACACGAAGTGTTCACGATTTTTAATAAGAGTGATGCCTAGTTAGCGTTTATATAGCAAAGAATTTTAGATGTAACAGTGGAAAACGTCAGAAATGGGAATTTATACGTTACTTCATTGGTTTATTTTAAAAGCAAAGCAGTCGTAGAGCTGTCACTTACAACACTCAAAAATAAGCTTCAAAGAGCACAAATAAAACCACACAAGCGCAATTAAGTTAAAGTCTGCTATCACCAACCTCCAAAAAACCAAAGCCGATGCTTTTAACACCGCTCATTTTTAAAAATTAGATAAATAAAGTTATTTTTGGCAGCTTAGTTTTAAGTTCTCCTGGCCTATGGACGCAAGCCATTACAACAATCCAGAGCAGAGGGCCAATCTAAGTATGATGAATCAACTTTTGGTGATCGACCACCAGAATCAAGATATAGAACATTCTGTGTAAAACCGGAGTTAGTATACCGTATTGCAGTTTGGCCCCTTATGCCATGGATAAACTTCGAGGGCTCCATGTCACTTTGTCACCGTCTCGTTAAGCCAACAGAAGATCGGAGAGGGATAAAAGAGTGTTTCCATTCCTTCATCGCTCACACATACCACTTCTTTCACTGTTCAAATGTGGTAACGCTTTTATTGGCAGCACTGAATTTAGAATAGAATTACGTCCAGCCAGAAAGAATTTTACTGCAAAGATAAATGTGAAAGATTAAGCAGGATGTAGTTGCAAGTGATTATGTAATAAAATCAGCCTGACGGCCTCAATGGTGGTTGGATAAAGCCGTATTCGCAGCTAAAAGGAAAGTTAAAAGGGCACCCTGGAGGAGATAGGTAGGTAATTTTACGAATTTTTGGATGGTACAGCGCACACAACCGCTAGCGTGAGGACATTAGCCCCTACATGCTTCTGCATCGGGTCGAACGATAACTCTGCAATCGTTTGTGAGTGAGGGGGTGAGCAAGCCACTAATCTGCGTGAATGAGCAAAAAGTGAAATGAATGGATGAGTGAATGAAATAAATGAATGCCAAGCCATCCATCACTGACCTAACTGACATCACTTTAAATTGTTTCTCCTACTCAGTTTGCTACTGCATAATCAATCAGTTCTCATTAGCCAAACGTTATGTTTGTTGTCACTTAGCCCTGCGTGACGTGATGCCTCGCCTTTAGGACAAAACTAGATAAGCGGAGGGAGAAAGCAAGGTATGGAAATGGATGGTAACTGCGGCTACAATATGGAGGTGAAGCAGGAGAGAAAGCTAAAATCAATGCTTTGAATCTTGATAATTAGACCGACTTCATTGGCAAAGCATTATCGCCTCAAGCAGGCGTAGAACCCATTTGAATCGTTTGCCTGCCTAATAATTTGATTGCATTTTACCATTTTAAAACCAGCAACTTTCTTAGGTTTAGAATGGTAAGAGTGAGATTTAAGCGGGCGTACAAACATTTGTGGATAAGGATTTGAATGACTACCTCAAGAAGGGCTATTACATGCACATGGTGAAGTGGCATTACCTGTAGCCGCCTTTCTTACACTTACACCGTCAAAGAGGTATTCTCAGTAAAACTATCCCAAAGAGTTAAAAATTAGTGCACTAGCATTGCAATGCATTTGACATACATATTAGTAGGTTTTTTTGCAGGCGAACCTTTAAAACATAGTAATGCCAACTTCTCCCCCTCATTTTCTTGTCGCATTTAAAACAATTTTGACATGCTTATGACCCACCAACAAAGGTGTGTGTAAGTGGATTAAATTGAAAGTTAAATTTGCACAAATATGCTATTTTGCCAAGAACTAGCATTAAGCAACTCACATGGTCACTTAGACATCATCCCCAACAGTTTGCATCTATTCTTTCCGTATCGAAGGCCAAATACGATTAATGGACCCAGTCCTCAGGACCAATTTGGAGTGTGTGTGAAAAGCTACTAAAAGCACAGTGTGAAGCGGTTCGTCATAAACCCCATCATGCAATCCCAGCGGCTTGACACCATGTTAAAGCCGATTTTGGGGCAAGTTTTTGTTTTTATTTGTTTTAATTGTATGTATTTACTTGACTTTGCTTGTCGCAAAAGCTGCGACTTTAAGAAACAATAAGCACTTCTCTTAGAAGTAGACTTTCCACCATAGACGCCTTTCCTGTGATATTTATAGAGAAGAATGAACCGATAAAACAAATGGATAGGGGAATAGGAATCAAGAACCATTTGCGTGTGCCGGGAGTCGAACCCGGATCGACTGCTTGGAAGGCAGCCATGCTAACCGCTACACCACACACGCCCATTCGGCGTGCGCACAAATATTAAACAAAGTACAATTTTCGTAGCATCTGTTGCCACTGACTTCCATTTGCGTTATAAACCATCGGTTTGACCAGCCCTTTCTTTGAGATACCTAAGTATTTTAGCTTTGTGCTTGCCATGCAAGCCACCTTAGTAATCCGGCTTCTTTTGTGCCCCAACTTGTCGCTCAAGAAGTGAAAACTTCTTAAACGTTTAAAAAACGAGGCGTCCAGTTCCTCACTCATCTTCAACATACAACGTTTGTAGGTGTTTGTTTGTTAAACAGATCGCAGGACTTGATTTCAACTTGAGGTGGTCAAGTCAACACACTCAAACAGCAATTGCAATGACTATTTTCTTGTGCCACGGGGGCTGTGTTCTGGGCATTAAAATGAACAAAAAAGGATTAGTGGATAAGTGCAGGAGATGAATATTTGAAAGACGGGGTTGAGTATCCGTTCATAAAGATAAATCTGTACTTTGAGAAATTCGCAGATTGGAGTTAGGAGATCAACTCCCCAATATCCTCAAAGGGAATTAAACAAATCTATCACAGAAGTGTCACAAAGTAACAGTCAGGAGGACGAAATGGGCAAAAGAGAACTAGCTCATCTAACAATACACAGGTATGCAAAGTGGGTGGGAACCGCATCGAGTCTTCTGACCAAAGCAGCATGAAAGGATATTTACCGCCATCACACGATAAACCTAGTAAGCTAAAACGGAAGAAGCAGGGACTGCGAGCACTGAAAGACTTGCGTGGAAAATGTGCATATCATGATCATTTCCTTGTCTTTAATATACTCGGGACCTCATGAACCGCCTACTAGGATAAAAGGCAACTGTTTTTCAAATGAGACATTTGTCAGTGGTAGAGTCAGCAATCCAACCTTCCGGTTCTGCTGGCTTGGGAGTTTTTACTTTGTTAATCTTAGGGGGAGGAAATTGAGGGGTAATCGTTGGTTGTGCACTGCCCAAGGCTGCAACTGCCACTGTCAATCAATCTAAACACAAGCAATTTGTTTAGTGAAACTTCTACTTCCTAGAGGTAGTGCCACGCACTTCATTCGGTCCCATTTATCTACCAAGGTTCTGGAGTTTGTACCCCATGTGGGCACAGTTCACAAAACTTCATATGGAGCAGCTTAAAACTGGACTCATTTGAACTCGACTGATGTAATTTAAAAGTCGTCTTGGTGTGATGTTTTTTCCGCTTCTTGCCCGAATGGATTCAGACCGTAAATATCAAGCTAAATGTGCGAAAAGTAATCAACAAAGTCCTCAAATCTTTAGAGGCACCGTTACAATGTTTTCGCTAGGGGAGGAGGCTCTTGTTCAGCCCCATGTATTCATTTAGTAAATGAACATTTGGTATGATTGCAGTTGCCTTTTCAAGGAATTTAAAATCTCTTAAGCAAATGACATAAATAATTTTACCAATAGAAATGCAATTACAAAGAGGGATTTGAATTTTTGCGGATTCGAGGAAACCAACGGGAGTATGCGAAGCTTCTCATTTGCAGTGCAAATACTCACACATCCACAATCTGGCGGAACTCTCTTGTGTAGCAGTTGAAGTACTCCCTCTACTCGCATTAAAATAACATGCTATGCATCCTAGGTGACGTTTATGTGACAACCCTTTAGTGGAGAAACTCATTGCTTATTAGTAGTTAGCGTGTCGAGCTCATTGTCGTTGCCGGGTCTATCATCCGACGTCGATGACATCTGAAGTGCGGAAAAATAAAAGTCTCGAATTCGCCCCTAGATTGAGTAACTTGATTTAACAACTTTCGGTTTAATAAAAGGAGAGGTTGTTACGGGCACTCCCATTCGTTGATCACGTTAAATAATTGGAGCATGCAGCTACATAGCTAGAAGGGCACAAGGTAATCCGTTTAAGCTATCTTTGGTAGGCAGGGTTAGTACCAGCTCGAAAATCGAGTTGTCTCCAACGATGTCAAAAAGTAAATAAGTTCGAAAGGATTAAAAGGCTTGTAGCAAGAATGCTATTTGATGGGCTCCATGGTATCATCGTGAAAGTTGATTCTCTGGAGAATGGCATGCTCTTCCGGTACCTTAAATCAAAAGGTTTTTATTCAGCAATTCATCGACCAAAGTCCAAATCATTTTACTTTTCGTTCCAAGGGAAATTGAAAAATGGATGACTAGGTTATGCATTAAATTACTGAATTTCTGTATACGTGGTTTTGCATTTATGTAAAAGCATCCGAGAGTTTCAAAGACATTCATAATGAGTTTTTTCAGCCAACAATAGCTGATATTAATGACCCATTATGATCAAAAATTGTCGAATCACTTTGTGGCTGTTCAACTTTTTGTGAAATGTCTTTTGATGCATATCCTGTAGGCGATGTACTGGTGGGGAGGGTAGGGAGTGAGGGGTGGTGAGAAAAAATCACATCAGCCATTATAGCATGACATGATTTAATGAAACAGCGAAAATGACTTCTGTCAATGCCAGTTACCTGTAGAAAGCGGATTTGTTTTTCAAAGATATCAACATCAAAATAATAAATCGAATTGCACAAGGATGGTTAAATGAGTGGAGGTTAGTTTCTCTTGCATTGCATTGAAAGCAAAAGAGCAACTAATGGCAAATTTATATAATTGGGATAACAAATTCTGTGCCAGAGACAAGGAGAAGTATTTGTAAGGAATGCGGAACTCAAATAATGGGCGTTGGTTAACGGTAACTTGAATACAACTGCTGCCTCTATGGCCTATTTTGGGTAAAAAGCTGCAGTCAATAATGGCTTTAGGTCCTTGTAGTGAAACTAACGGAATGTTGATTGTAGCTGTATTGCAGATACAGTGGGTTGCGGCACAGCCGAGCAATGTTACCAGATTCGTGGAAACCGCTACGGTTGTAGCGATTTGGCCTACGCAAAGCTGACACTGAGTTGCAAGCCTTCCACTGTCTTCCGCCTTATAGGCCAGACCACTTTGCTGGGTCGGTGTGTCTGGTCCAACTTTTTGCTACTGATAGCTTTCTGGTCAACGTACTTAAAGCATTAGCCTCGTGTACCGATTCAACTACGCATTTGACAATATGCCTAGAAGGGAGGAGACTAAAAAATAACCAGCTATTGGTGTTACAAGTAATAAGTGGAACAGTTGTTCGTGTCGATAATTATTCATAATTACCTATTTTTTGATAGTAGACGTCTATTGAAAGTAGGAAATCAGCAGTGATGTCACGTCGCTGAGGATTCGAGGCATAAGATGGATTTGAAGCTGGTTGAGTGTGTTAAATTTGCACAAATTTTCAGGTGAATAAAATGTTTTACTGGTCTTTGGTATACTTCAATGTTATTATTTGTTCGACATGAAGATCTGTAAAGTGTACGCGAATATTCATATAAATTATAATGCACAACTGTTTGCCTGTCAATTTTTGGTACTCCTTATTATATTCCATGCAATCTTAGAATCGTTTTGAAGCATTTTTGATCATAGAAATCTATTAGATGTGGTGGATGTGATTAGAGCTTTTCTGCTTGACGATTCGACTGCACAACTTAAGAAACTGGTTCTAGAGGTATACAATGACAGATACAGCTAAGGAATTTTATATTGTTGATAAACTACCGAAAATGAGGAAGGACTCAATTGTTGTCGACTTCTACCATGAGTGATGAAGAGTGAGTTTTTTCCTCCGCAAACTAAAGGGGAAGTAAATGACGTTACTACGTACACCGATGTTACTCACAAATAAACGAGTGGAATAATGTGCTTGGAAGACAGTCAGTTAGTCTTTTTTCAAATATTTTCAAATTTGTTCCAAAAGCGCACAGTGCATTTCTGATTGTTTGTAAACTGACCGACTTGTAATGAGGAATGCTGTCTGTATTGCAACAGATATGTTATTGTTTATTTCTAAACGATCTGCCATCCCACTGCCCACGCCACACCTCTAAGGCACGCACCGCTTCACTTTCATAAGATTACATGCGCGTGCAAGAGTTTATTATGAGTTGTTCACTTGTTGAGACCCAAACGGCAGTCATGGCCGAGATCCATTCGTCCGATAAAGCTGGATACTGCTCAAAGGTGTTCAAGACCTAACCTTTTGGAAAGAATCATGTATAGCGGGTCCGTGGAAAGGTAAATTTATTGCCGCCCATTGTGATCGCACATCATACTTTGGGATGGAAGGAGGGAAAATTAGCACTGTCTCATCCACCTTGTTTCTTTTCCAATTACAGACCATCACCTCATCTTGGCACTAGATGGCAAAATCAAGAGCAAATAGGGAATAGGGTTAGAGTAACGTCGATGTTGAAGTGAATAGGGCACGACTCAGCTAAATTTCTTCCGGAGAAAAAATGTGTTGCTATAGCGGAGAAGATTTCAGATTGCTACTCATCACTGCTTCGGTGAATGTATCATTTTCATGAGAATTTCCGTAGTAGTAAAAATTGCACCGCATTATTTGCCGCATTGCAACAAGCTCAATCTGACTCCTGAACAGTGATGAATTGAAACTTTAAATTCTGGAAATGAATTTGTACCCATCTATTTGTTCGTCAGACCAAACGGCACCAGTTGTTCATAGCAAATATAGTCGAAATGTTAGGTTTGTTTAAATATCACAACGAGGCGGTTTCGAAAAATATTGCTTTTGAATGAGTTGGCAGGTCCCCGTTTCCATCATGTGCCTAATTATTGCTTTATCGTAATCACAGGAGGGGATGGTTATTTACTCACGCATTTATTTAGAAGCGTTTACAGGACTTGTTTATGACTTCCTTAGCGGAGTCATCCGCATGATTCTGAGTTTCTTACATTCGAGTCTGGTCTGCGGTGAGGTGAACAAAAGGCCATGTCCTCATTCTTCGCCGCTATTATTGTTCACCTTGTCTCGTTGCTCCCTTAACCACACTCCGAGGAGCGGGTTCGCTG